TTTTTTTTGGGTTGTTCTCCCGCCCTGGCGGGGGGTCGGGCTAGAAGATCTATTAGGTCCCTTCCGACCCTGAAACTATGAAACTATGAAACTATGTGCCTAGGCTCTCCATACAGTGCCCGAGGAGATTTAACTGCCTATCCCTGAGATTTACAAAAGCTAGCAACAGGAAATCCTGAGAAGGGTATGACTTAAGCCCTAATCTCTGTGTTCAAGGCCTTTGATGCCAGGATCCATTGCTGATGTGGTGCAGAAAAGCCTTGGGTGCCTAAAGAAGAACATATGTAGGACTGAGTTGTCTAGTTTCCAGTGAATTCCAAATGTCAGTCCTAAATGCCATTCAGCTGCTACCTAACCCTGGAAAGTAGCACCACTATTGGGCACCTCTCTGACTAGCTTAGAAGTCCTTCAGATACCAGAGTCCTGTTTCTGAATATGCCCAGCAGTGCCCCACTCTAAAGGCCTCAGCAGTAAAGTATCACGGGGCTCTTGGGCTACAAATACATTCCTTTACCTTCTCAAACTAGCATTTAAGTCTGACCAGGATCCAGTTCCTGCTCTCAAGATTAATTGCTTTTTATCTAAAGGTGCTTGAATGGAAAATGCATAAAGAACAATGGGACAGGAATTAGAACCTAAAATATGCCCCACCTCCACCCCCAAGTAAAGTACCCTAAACACTAGGCAGGAATTCCAGGATCTGTCACCTTGGCCCCATGCATCTTGCATGCTAGGTTGTGCCGTGTACAGTTTTACCTGGTATGGTGGAGGACTCTCCAAATTCCACCCCACCCTTTAACTTTACCTGTAGCCTTCAGGTTAGGACACACTCAGAGGAGATGGAAAATGTGTGTTTGGATCACCTCAGTCTTAGGAGTGCCCCAGAATACAGGACTCCCACTTCCTGGATGGGGAGAACTCTAAACAATAGGTAGTTGTATAAAGGTAAGAGGCAGTGCCACTAACCCTATGCCTCCTCCAGTAACCATGTTTTGGGGGGTGGTAATCCCTGTTCTGTTCCTTGGGAAAATAATAATAATTTCATCACCTCAGGAGAGATGAATGAAATGGCAAAGTGTTTGAAGAATTTATATATGGCACCAGATGCATGAGTATGAACCTTGCTCCAGGCTCATGCTCAATAAGCACATGTCCATTCAGTCTGGGAATAAGCACATGTCCATTCAGTCTGGGAAGTCAAAGGAAAAATAATGCCAATGATGTGCAACTTATTGGGCTGTGAACTAGTGATTACCCTTTAGAATAGAGACCTTGGATTTGCTGTAGGTATTTCTCTAGAAATGTCAGCTAATTGACCAGCAGTTACAAAAAAAGGCAATAAAATGTTGGACAGGAAAACACCTTATGCCACTGTATAAGATTGTGCACCCACATCTTGAATATTGCATACCTTTTTCACCTGCCCATCTCAGAAAAATGAAAACATACAGATAAAATCAATGGACATGATCAGAGGTATTTGGCAGTTGCCATACCGGGAAAGACTCAGGAGGCTAGAACACTCCACTTTCGAAATAAGGCTGGGCTGAGGTGCTTCTGATAGATGTGTATAATAAAAATGTGAAGGGTGTGATAAAGTGGATAGGGTACTGCTATTTAGCAAGTCCCCAAATACAAGAACAAGGTGGCATCCAGTTAAGTTATCAGGAGATGGATTTAAAACAAACAAGATTTTTTTTTTTGGTCGCAATATATAGTAACATTTTGAAACTCATTGATACAAGTAGAGGCAGATAATATAACCTGGTTCAAAAGGGTTTGAACAAATGGAGTTATTATACAGAACAATCAGGAATAAATCTTCTGACATCCCTAAACCAATGATGGTTGATGCCAGGGTATGGCTGAGGATGGATTACTTTAGATATGCCATGTTCATATACTTCAACCTTTAAAACATCTACAACTTGCACTGATGGAGCATGTGTTAGAATTTGTAAGGTGAATGTGAAAGAGCTCTGACCTGGAAAAGGAGAGATCTGGTCTCTAGTTTCTGTTTCAGTGAATATTTCATTAAAACAAAAAAATATCAGGTAGCAGTTGGAATCCAGATGCTGCCTTCTTCCAGGTGAAACTCCCCTCCCCACATAGACTGAAGAGTCAAGCTCTCTTTCTGATACACAGAAAAGTCAAAACAATCACTTTTCATCTGATGAAGTAAGCTGTTAAGCATATTTGTCTCTGATTTAGTCTATGGTTCAACTTTATCCTGCCTTCTGCCTGATTTTAGACCAACTACCTCTCTCAAAAGAACATGGCACAACCTCAATAGGTGGAATTAAGGGATACTAAACACCACATTGTAATTTATAGCTTAGTACTTAGGATAGTGTCTAGGGAGATGGAAGGGGAAGGAAGAGAATCTATAGGCTCTGATATGTATTCAAGCCCCTGCTCTAATTCATGGTGCTTTACATAAAGTGCCATGAGTTACAGCACCCTCCCTCCAACCCCCAACCCAACAGATGTTCCTCTGTTGGGTCAGGATGAGGGGATCAAGCCTGCTTGCAGGACCCAGAGTGCTGAGGAGCTACCACTGTCCCCAGTCTTGCGTCCTTACCCTCCCAGCTCCAGGGCTGTTAATAGGAAGGGAGTGGGGAGGGAGGAGGAGAGAAGAGGAAGCCAGCTGCAAGGAGATGCTGACTGTACTTCCCCTAGCCTGAGCTGGAGGGGTGGGGGAATGGATTACATCTCCCCTCATCCCATACCTTGTGGACCCAGTCAGCTCCCCCCCCCCCCCCCCCCCCCCAGGCCCCCGTTCCACATT